ACCTGACCCAAGACGGGTCGCAGGCGTCGTACCGAGCGCGTCGAGACCGTGTCCTCATGTGATCTGCACGGGTGAGTCACGTCGGCGTCAAAGGAGCGACGTGCGACCTGTCAGAGCTCTATCTCCGATCGCAGCTGCCTCTGCGCGTCCTGGGGAGGTACAATAGTGTCGCGCGCCGGAGACGACTCGACGCCGCTGAGATCGGAGATCAAGCTCTGACAGGTCGCACGTCGCTCCTTTGACGCCGACGTGACTCACCCGTGCAGATCACATCAGGACACGGTCTCGACGCGCTCGGTACGACGCCTGCGACCCGTCTTGGGTCAGGTGGCACGACGCTCCGCGCCTGCCAGCGCTGCCGTGCAGGTTGCCACGACGAGGTCGAGCACGCTTCTATACGCTCGCCCAGCCTTCCTTTCCATCCCATTAGGCAGCCTGGGAACGGTGGCGGTCAGAGGCAAAGCCTGCGAGGGGTGGTGGAACCACATGTCACGGCTACCGCCGGCTCGACCCCACGATAGCCTCCGGAGGCTGACTTTGAGGCACCATCATCGGACGATGTCGACGAGTTGGGTCGCTCTCGCGGTAGCCAGGTAGCCCCCCATACTAGTAGCACCGGCCATGGCCGCAGGAAGCTCGGGGGAGGGCGCTGGGAGCAACACGGAGCTCCGTTGGACGCGTTTTCAAGATTAGCGTGTCAGAGTGAATTGGAACTAGCCTATAGCACCATGCTTGGACAAACTGAGAATAGTTTAATTGCACAGAGAGAACTTGTGCCGCCGCGGCGGGGGCGTCTCTGCCGTAGCTTTGTCCGTGCGGCGAGTGGTATTGAGCTCCGAGCATCCCAATCGAGGAGACTGAGCATCGCAATCGAGGAGACTGTGATCTGTGTCGGACGCGCTCCCCTTGTCGCGAGGCTTCTCATTAGGTCACTTGCTCGTTCACCAGGTACGTCGCCGTCTTCGACCCGCTGGATGGCTCGTCCAACGTCGACGCAAACATCCCGACGAGCGCTCCATCAGCATCTCCACCCGCAGTGCGCCGGAGGGGTGGCGGGTGCTAGTCAAGCGATTGCGCGAAATCCCAGAGTACTGCCAGAGACTGATTTTGGGGCGCTGTGGGCGCCCTGATTTTCCGTTTCCCCACCACACGCAGTCGAGTACATAGCCACACATAAGTGCATACGTTCACAAATGGCACTTAGGAGCCAGACGTGCGGCTTTCCAGTCACTCAATCAGTCTGTCATTCACATAGGTCATAGCTTCACGGAACCAACCACGCGTGTCGCCCGCCGCGGCCCTAGTCGCTCCCCGCCACAGCGACTGTTGGCCGGCCTCACCCTCAGACTCGCGGGTTCAAGCTCCTCGGCGACTTTTGGATCTCCTCCACGAGATCGGGCATCGGGCTCGGCTTGACCTTGACCGAGCCGTCGATGATCGGCGCCGACCGGTCCGCCGACGCCTCGAGGTGAGGTAAGGTCAGGTAAACTTCTCCACAGACACAGCGTGGTGGGGCAAGGGCCAGGCGCAGCCCTCGCGACTCCCCATGTCTGAAAGACGGGAGCCCCACGGCATTCAAAGTGCAAGGCCCGGTGCGCGTGGGTGAGCGGTGTGTGTGTGTGTGTGTGTGTGCGTGTGTGTGTGTGTGTGTGTGTGTGTGTGTGTGTGTGTGTGTGTGTGTGTGTGTGTGTGTGTGTGTGTGTGTGTGTGTGTGTGTGTGTGTGTGTCTGTCTGTCTGTCTGTCTGTCTGTTGTGGGGAGGGGGGTGTCGACGCCTCGACGTGCTTGAGGGCCGGCGACGCCTCGACAGCGGCGAGCTCCTTCCTGAGGTCCGCCATTGGGCTCGGCTTGACCTGGTAAGGTGAGGCAAGGTCAACGTCTCCACACACACAAGGTGGTGGGGCAAGGGGGGGCGACCCTCGCGTCTCCTCCCCCGGACACGGGCAGGAGCCCCTGGTGGGTGCGCGGCCGGCGCAACCTCGGGCAACCTCGGGCTCTGACTCGGGCTGACTCGGGCCATCTCGGGGCCATCTCGGGTCCATCTCGGGCCCATCTCGGGTCATCTCAGGACCACCTCGGGCCCATCTCGATCCAACCTCGGGCCCATCTCGGGCTGGATCTCGGGCCATGTGGTCGGTAGATCTCGGGGCGTGACCTCGACGTCCGGCGCTATCAGCGGCGCGGACCGGTCTGCGGCAGGGCCGGCGCTCTTCAGGCTGGCGCCGCTGCCCTTTGCGATGTCGTCGAGCACGCCCTCCTTGAGCACCTGGGGGTAGAGGGGCGGGGCACGGACCACCGCAGTCGGACCCATCGGAGCCCCGCACACACCACACACAGTCACTGTGTTGGGCAGAAGGGAGAGAGAGGGCGGGGTTGGCTACTGGGTTCGCTACTGCCCCCGTCGCGCCCCAGCCCCTGTGCGGGTTGAAGCCACGTCTCGTGTCGCCAGCCGCTTGGGTGTGGAGAGAGGGGCGCGCCCGTTCGCCGATCTTGGAGGGGTGAGAGGCTAAGGCTGCCTACCACTAAGGGTCGCTACAGGGGAGGGGGGGGAGGGGGGGGAGGGGGGGGAGGGGGGGGAGGGGGGGAGGAGAGGGGGGGGGGGGGGGGGGGGAAGGGGGCTAATGGAGGCCCCACCTTTATTCCCCCCCAGGCCTCCAGGGAGGGGAAGCCCCCCTGCTTGGGGCCAATCTCATTTTGCAGGGACGCCATCGAAGATGGTTTGACGGCGAAGCCCGCCTCCCCCACTGGGGCGTAAGGTTCCAAAAAGGCCCTTCCCGAAACGAGCGACCGAGGCCCATGGGTGATTTCTTTCTTGAGGCCCCCCCTCCGCGAAGGTTTTATCGTCCCCTCAGGGGCGAAAAATGGCCCTGACCCATCCCCCCCCAGGTCGTCAAGGGGTTTGAGCCCGCGGGGGGAGCCCTTTGCAACCCCCGCGAGGACGTCCTTGGGGGCCACCCCCTTTTGCCAAGGGGGCCCGAAGCCCTTTTTGTGGGCCTGTTTGGCCTCGAACACCTTTGGAAAGCCGCCCCTCCGGGTCTCCTTAAGCTTGACCACCGGCTCGAAAACCGGAACCTACCCTCCCGCGTTGGCCTCAAAATGAATCAAATGGGGGGAGGGACCGGTTAC